GCACTTGAGGTCGGTGCTGGAGATTTTGAAGGCGAAGCAGTTGTATGCCAAGCTTTCTAAATGTGAGTTTTGGTTGGATGAAGTGAAGTTCTTGGGCCACGTGATTTCAGCTGAGGGGATTGCTGTGGATCCGGCTAAGGTGGAGTCGGTGTTGCAATGGGAGCGCCCGAGGACTGTCACTGATATACGGAGTTTCGTGGGTCTGGCGGGTTATTATCGGCGGTTCATTGAGGGATTCTCCAGGATAGTAGCGCCTCTGACCCAGTTGACGAGGAAGGAGCAGCCGTTCATTTGGACAGATGCCTGTGAGCGGAGTTTTGAGGAGTTGAAGAGGAGGTTGACTACTTCTCCTGTGTTAGTGTTGCCGGATTCTGGTGAACCCTTTGATGTGTACTGTGATGCCTCTCACCAGGGTCTTGGGTGTGTGCTGATGCAACACAGGAAAGTGGTGGCATATGCTTCAAGGCAACTGAAGAACCATGAGAGGAATTATCCCACTCATGACTTGGAGTTGGCAGCTGTTGTTTTTGCCTTGAGGATATGGCGACATTATCTGTATGGTGCTCAGTTTAGTGTCTTCAGTGATCACAAGAGTTTGAAATATCTGTTCGATCAGAAGGAGCTGAACATGAGGCAGAGGAGGTGGATGGAATTCTTGAAGGACTATGACTTCCAGTTGATGTATCATCCTGGTAAGGCCAATGTTGTAGCGGACGCACTGAGCAGGAAAACCATTCACATGTCTGGGTTGATGGTGAAGGAGTTGGAGTTGGTGGAGGAGTTTAGGGATTTAAATCCCTGTGTGGAGTTAGCTCAGGATCACATTAGTTGTGGGGCAATTACCATAACTAATGAGTTCTTGAGGTAGGTGGGACTCAAGCAGTTGCAGGATACCGAGTTGGTGAAACTTCTGGGGTTGCTGGGTACTGAGAAGGCGGTTAGCTTTGAGTTGGGAGGAGATGGAATCTTGAGGTATAAGGGCAGAATTTTCCTGCCTCAGGATACTGAGCTGAAGAGGGTTGTGTTGGAAGAAGGCCACAAGAGTAGGCTTAGCATACATCCGCGTATGACTAAGATGTACCAGGACCTCAAGAAGACCTTCTGGTGGTCTGGTATGAAGAGGGAGATAGCTGAGAAAGTGGCGGCCTGTCTGACCTGTCAGAAGGCGAAGGTTGAACATCAGAAGCCGAGTGGATTGATGCAGCAGATTGAAATTCCAGAATGGAAGTGGGATAGCATCACTATGGATTTCATTGTGGGGTTGCCTAGGTCAGCTAAGAATAGTGATGTTATCTGGGTGATTGTCGACCGGTTGACCAAGTGTGCACATTTCTTGCCTGTCAACATCAAGTGGTCCTTGGAGAAGCTGACGCAGTTATATGTGAGGGAAATAATACGGTTACACGGGGTGCCTTCCAGTATTATTTCAGACAGAGATCCGAGGTTCACTTCCAGATTTTGGCAGAGTCTGCACCAAGCCTTAGGCACGAAGTTGAAGCTGAGTTCTGCTTATCATCCTCAAACGGATGGTCAGTCAGAGAGGACGATTCAGTCCTTGGAAGATTTGTTGAGGGCTTGTGTGTTGGACCACTTGGGTAGTTAGGAGGAGGTCCTACTGTTGGTGGAATTTACGTACAATAATAGCTTTCATGCTAGTATTGGGATGGCGCCGTTTGAAGCCTTGTATGGCAGGAGATGTAGGACTCCTCTGTGCTGGTACCAGGAGGGCGAGTCAGTGGTTGTAGGACCGGAGTTGATCTTACAGACTACTGAAAAGGTGAAAATGATTCAGGAGAGGATAAAGACTTCTCAGAGTAGGCAAAAGTCATATGCTGACAAAAGGCGTAAGCCTCTGGAGTTTTCCGAAGGGGAGCATGTGTTTCTGAAGGTGACTCCGACTACTGGTGTGGGTAGAGCACTAAGAGCAAGGAAGTTCACACTGAGGTTTGTGGGTCCCCATCAAATTATACAGTGTGTGGGTCCGGTTGCTTATCGGTTGGCTTTGCCACCATCTCTTTCAAACCTACACAATGTGTTTCATGTTTCCCAACTGAGGAAGTACGTTCACGACCCGAGTCACGTGGTGGAGTTGGACGATGTACCGGTAAAGGAGAATCTGACCTTTGAGAAGTTACCAGTAGCTGTGATTGACCATAAGCTGAAGGAGTTAAGGGGCAAGTCCATTGCTCTGGTAAAGGTGTTATGGGATGCAGCTACCGGTGAGGCTACTTGGGAGGTGGAGCATCAGTGCAGGGAGCGGTATCCGTTTCTCTTTCCAAGTAAGTTGGTTTTCGGGGACGAAAACTCTTATTGTTGGGGAGGTTGTGAGACCCCTTTTCCTTCCTTTTCTTTTTCCCTGGACACTCTTCTCACTCAACTCTCATTTTCTTCACACTCATTTTGCTGACCCACTTTCTTACTCAACCCTCACTCTCGATTTCTGGCTTTTGGATTCAAATTCTCTAGGTGTGTAGGGGCTGATCAAATTGAGGAGAGCTAGCTGAACCCTATTCTTCCTCAAGCTCTTCCTTCTTCATTTCTTCTTCTTCGTTCAAGTTCCCGGAAGCTCGATTTCCTTGAGTGAGGTAAGGGAAGTTAGTATTTTGTTCTTTTTCGCTATTTCTGGTTGTGGACGAATTCTAGGAACTCGTTAGATGCTTGCCGATGACTGATTCGTGGCTGGATTAAGGAAACTTGTTGTTTTTGGGGTTTCGGGGATTGTTGAGAAATTTTGGGGAACAGACTTGATCGTTGTTGCATGTTGAAAAAGGTAGTACTTTTGGACTCTTGGATGAAAATTTAGTGTTTTGAACCGATTGCATGTGAAGTTTCTGGTCTTTTCGCAGGTCTTTGATGAATTTATTCGAAAATGGTTGGCTGCTGCTGAGCTTCGCGCTGAGCGGGGTTCTTCGCGCCTGGGCGCGCGGCCATCAAGGGACCTATTTGGTCAAGCCCGCTGAGCGCCATGATGAGTGCGCTGAGCGCGCTTGAGATTGTGGGTCTCTGGCTGGCCCGCGTTGGGCGTGACTTGGCCCGCGTTGGGCGCGATACCAGTTGTGGCAGGTTTTGGTTCTTCTTTTGGGCGCTGAGCGCGTCCCTTGTCGCGCTGGGCGTGAGACTCCTTGGGAGTCTCTGCCTCATGGGCGCTGGGCGCAATTCCGAATTGCGCTGGGCGCGAGACTAAGGGGTGGTCTCTGCCTTTCCCGCGCTGAGCGCTAGGTTAGGTGCGCTGGACGCGTGAGGCTCCTTGAAGTCTCTGTCTGGCCTGCGCTGGGCGCAGTTGTATTGCGCCAAGTGCGGGAGAGCCTTGTGCTCTCTGGCTGAGTCCCGCTGAGCGCGAGCCTGCTTGCGCTGGGCGCGCTAGCCCCCTGGGGCTCTCTGGTTGTACTGCGCTGGGCGCAACTTCGAAGGCGCCGGGCGCGAGGATGAGACATTTCCTTTTATGTATTGAATTAAATTGAGTTGTATGTTGATAAGTTGAGTTGTATGTTGATAAATTGAGTTGTATGTTGATAAGTTGAGTTGTATGTTGATAAGTTGAGTTGTATGTTGATAAGTTGAGTGTATGTTGATAAGTTGTGTTGTATGTTGATAAGTTGAGTTGTGTTGTATGTTAAGTTGAAAAAGTTGAGGTGTGTTGAATATTGATATGAGTTGTTGTAGGCCGTAATGGCTGAGTTGTTGTAGGCCGTATTGGCTGAGTTGTTGTAGGCCTCAAGGGCTGAGTTGTCGTAGGCCTTAACGGCTGAGTTGTTGTAGGCCTTCACGGCTGAGTTGTTGTAGGAGAATCTCCGAGGTGATATGCGTGACGACGCATTTATATCAAATTGCAGGTTGGTTGCATAAATTGAATGGATAGTAGAATGTTGTTGTGTTGACGGTTGAAGTTGTACTGATTATTAGAATTTTTGTTGTATGTTGTTCTTTTTATACTAGCTTACCCTTGCTGTTTCCTTGTGGTTGGACTGCTATGATCGTATGATTTACGGGAGCAGAACAGGATTAGGTGTTTGGTTCGTGGTGAGTCGGCAGCTGGTATGCGGAGCTGGCCATGTTTTGTTGATATTTTGTTGTAATAGCTACTAGGTGTAGCAATTGGTTATGTCTGGTGTTTTCGGTGTTTTGAGGTTGGTGTGTAGTGACCGGTCGGGTCGTTACATATTTGGTTAAAAATTATAATTTATATAATTATTTTCTTATAATCATTTATTATTATTTTAATAATATTTATCATATGTTAGATATTATAGATAATATTATTTTACTCTAATTAATAAATAACTCTTTTTATAAAAACATCTAAAATAATAGGAAAAAAAACAATATTATAAAGTAAAATAAACAATTAAAAATTTCACACATTATAATAATTTGTTTCTAGAATAATAAAATAGTATTATAAAAAAATTAAAAATATTACTTAAATATGTTAGATATCTTAAATTGATAAGTAAGCTATAAAAAACACTTATTTAAATTAATACATTAAATTTCTTAAGATGTTTTAAATTGATAATTATTTAAATAAAAATACGTTAAATTTATTATATAATGTGTGAAAAATAATTATTTTAATTAATATCTTATTTTCAAAAATAGTTATTTAAAAGAAACTCAGTTGTGACTATATATAATAATATGATTCAAATAAAAAACTAACAGTAGATCAATACTATAAATTTAAAAAAAAAAAAAAAGTACTGCAATGATAATATATTAATAATTTAAAATAGTAGAGAGTAAGTTATAAAAAAAATAGTAAAATGTAATATTATAAAAAATCATAATAAAAAATATATAATAACTTTGTGCTTATGCGTGTAAATGATAGTAGAAAAGGCAGTAAAACATGTGAAAATATTAATAAGAAGAGAATTATAATTAACAAGTGGGAGATGGTATTAGTTGCGGGATTCATAGTATTACAGAGTTGCGTTGCGAGTACATTGGAAGGAGTTTTATTGTTATTGTTATTATTGAGTTTACAAGTACCTCCCTAGTCATGGTGTCTGTGCCGGAGGCCCATAGAAAGGAAAATCGGTTTCGTACCTGACATAGCAGCTGGGCCTAAGAATCCTGGCACCAATCCTATTATTACAACACCGTGGGATTTCAGCGATGGACTGAAGCAAGCAGTTATTGCACTGCGGCCCAGACAAATCGGGAGTGCACTGCGCAAGCCCATAGACGAGTTGAGCATCTGGGCCAGTGGCAGTGGAGGCCGCGTATTTACGAGCAGAGAGAGCTGACGCAGCCGTGGTTCTGAGGCCATCGAGAAGGTTCTTGACGACTTGATTGAAGTGTTGTGGGTTGGGCGCATCGTGCAGGTTCCAGACGAAATAGGCAGGCCCAATCTCGTTGAGGCCCTCAATGGAGCGGTCGGAGTAACGCAGCATGCACTTCTCGTTCTCGTACCACCCAATTGCCTCCTTTCGGTTTGGACAAAGGCTGGTGAGGTTGAAAACGGATTGGATGAGGCATTGCCGGCATTCTGTTGCCGTCACGTCACCTCTGCACTGCGCAATGGCGTTCACTTTGCTTGCGTCCTCGCCGCTCCATGTGCTGTGGAAGCCGTTCTTGTTTGAAGTTTGGAGGGCTACGATGTTCAAAACGTGGTTCAGGTTCGTTCTGTACCGCTCGTTCGTTGAGTAGTTTCCTCTGTCGTTGTTCGAGTCACAGAAGTAGTGGAAGTCTTCACTGTTTACCTCTCCGCTGCCTCCAGATGTCAAAAGAACACAACAAACAAACCAAACACACAAATAACAGTTAGCCATGCCGTTTGGTTCTGTTAATCCAAGATCCATAAATATATATTAGGATTTAGGAGAGATGAGCCACTCGGTGTCCCACTCTATCTGTTATTTAAATAATAATAATAATAATAAATAGATGAATAAATGGCAGTATACATATATGATTTCATTACAATATGATTCAAATAAGGAGTCAAACTTCTTTGTACCTTATCAATAATATGTTGATTTGCACAAGATTTCATCAAATTAAAAAGGAGGTTTGAATTGATTAATTAAAATAATCAATTATGAACTCAACATCATTTATAGGCAATAATTCATACAATTTGTATTGTCTATTAAGAGATTGAAATTTTTCTTTTTTCACTTTATTAACATATAAATAAGCTTTATGTATAATATCCAAACTTTTTTGGTTGAACTAGTTCAATAAATTATTTTTGGTTCAAACCTAAGTATTTTTTAAATTTTCTTTTCAAGCAATTTATCTAAGTATTATTTCTCATAAAGTTACTTAGACTTCAACATCAAGTATTTTTTTATAGTTAATTTTCTTCTAGTTTAAACGAGTATTCTTTTACAAATAAACATCTCTCAAGACTCAAACCTATAACAATAGTTTTATCTAGGTAAAGTTTTTACAAATACTATTTCATGATACAACCAATTAAGAATAATATTTTTACAAAAAAAAATGAATGAATAATGATTTGTACAAATGTTCTCTTTTCATTACCATTTGTTTCTAATCTTAAAGTTTCTTATATAATAGCCCCCCGATGAGGATGATCGTTTGCTTCTTCTAACTTTGTTACAAGTCTTGAGATGAGAAATGTTTGTTGAAGCGCATCAAATGTATGCATTACTTATATTTCACAAAATTTTCACTTCTTACTAAATTAAAAAGACTATTTATCAACTTTATGATATCAAATAGACTTTTTGTGACATGTATCAATGAATAACATGTTCCACATCATCTTTTATTGACTTTCTCTACGCTTTTAGAGATTTGTTTGTCCTTATTTCTCGTGTACAATATAACTTTATTTACTTTAACAAATTTGTGAGTTTCAATAAACTTTTTTTAATTAATCTATCAAGGAATTGGTCAGTTATGTACTAAGTAGTCATATTTATTTTAAATGACACACATCGTTTATCTAAAAGTTTACATCTTATACTTTATCATATTATATGTACAGACTAAATCTTCAAACTCTATATGTATAGATTGAACATGCAAATTACATATACAAATAATACATACAAAACATACTTTTAAATTATATTAGATTGACCTCTTACTAATCAAAATAACAAACAAAATATAAAGTTTTAGGTATGATCATTAATAAACTAACTAAATGATGTTATTTGGGTTTAATTGTAGTTTTGAGATTTAAGTAAATGTCTAGGATACTTTTTATCTATACTTAAAAAATATTTATTTATATTATTATGTTGTATTATAACATAGGATAAAAATGATTACAATATTTAGTGAAAATGAAGAACCAAGGACGTGATATGTATCTAAATTTTAAGAAAATATTGTCTATTTTAATTTACTGCTGTCATTTTTAATTATAAAATTGGATTAAAAATTGGTAAAAGCAACTTTTTTTTATTGTGTTTCATTTTTATTTTCTATTTTTCACATTTTCTATTATTCTTTTTAGAATATAAAAGAAAAAAAAATTAAAACATTTTTTCCAAACCAAACGTTGTTTAAGATTTTGCTGATTATATACTCACTTACATTAGTTAATCGTGTTTGTAAACTAGTGTTCTCAGTGGAATTGGTATAATAACAATCTTTAGTGAAAATGAAAAACCATGGATGTGATATGTATCCATTTATTTTAACAAAATATTATCTATTTTAATTTACTACTGTCATTTTCAATTCTAAAGTTGTAATATTATTTTTACCTTTTTTTTTATTACAAATTGTATAAAAACAGTAAAAAAAAAATATATTGTGATATATTTTCATTTTTCTGTTTTTAATATTTTCTATTCAATTTTTTTAAGAATAGAAAAAAACATTAAAACATTTTTCCAAACCAAACATTGTTCAAATTTTTGCTGATTACATACCCACTCACATCAGTTAGTTGTTTTTAAATTAGTGGAATTGGTTACAATTTAGTGGAAATGACTGTTCCCACTAATTCTTTTAAAATTGCCCATTAATTAAAATCTTAGATCTAATTTCTTCCTCATATCTTAATAGTAACATACTAGCTTTAACAACGTTAAAAACATATTAATTTTAAAACATGTAATTATTTAAATACATTAATTTTTATAACACAAATTTTAAACAACTATTTTTATTTAAAAATAATAATTTTATAATTCTAAAGAGACCTTAAAAGGAGATGTAACGCACCAATAAACAGTTGTTTAAGCAGAATCCAGAATTTATAAGTAATGGGCCTATATTTTTATATATAAATTTGTGGCGTTAAATTTTTTACTTGAAAAAAAATCATGACCGATTTTACTATTTTACTTTTTATAGGACTGAATTGATAAGAAAAAAATTATACCTTTTTATTAAAAAATATTTAAATATTTTTTCACTTTTAATACCATAAAAAACTTCCTTCTATATAAAGTAATGGATAATAAATAGTACTGTAATAGAATTTGATAAATTAACTTTTTAATGATATTAAAATATGTATTATTAGGTATGTATATATACGCTGAGAAATTTTATAAAACTAATTAGTGGGGCATTTAGTCCCACGCCTCTACTAACAAATTGTTGAGTGACATATAATATAATATATGTTATTAAATTTTATTTAAAATTAATATTAAAATTATGTGTAGGTATATATTAACTAGATTTATATTTACATTATAGGATTAAATACTTTTTAGTATCTAAAATTTAAGGTAAATTTAGTTTTAGTCTCTTAAATTTAAAACTGATTTTTTTAAAATTTTTTAATTTCAAAAATTGTTATTTTAGTATTTTATATTAAATTTTGTTAGAGAATCTTTCAAATAGTATCACATAAAATTTACCTATTAGTATCTTTATTAGTAAAAGTATTACATTAAACCTAATTAATACTGTATAATTATTTCAATTTATCATTTTTAAAAATAATAATTTTAAATTTAAAAGATCAAAAATAAATTTATATTAAATTTGAGAGATTAAAAATATATTAAAATTTATATTATATTTATAGTAATATTTTTTTATATCAATATATATAATTTTTTTAAGTGATCAGAAAAAAATATTGAAGCTGTACGCCTGTTGGATATGACCATGAATGAATTTCCAAAGGATGCTAGTGTTACTTTATAATCAACATGGTGAAATTGATTAAGTTTAATTAATAATTTCAAGCTATAGAAAAATAATTAGGACACTTGTTATCTATACTTTTAAAAAAATAATTTATTTTATTGTGTTATATTAAAGTAAAATCATTACAATCTTTATTGGAAATGAAAAATTAAAGATGCCATATAATCTATTTGTTAAAATATTTTCTTTTTTAATTTTTTACTCTCATTTTTAATTATAAAATTATTTGTTGGTGCATAAAAAAAATTAAAACTGTTATTTTCAGTTTTCTTTTTAAATTTGTATAAAAAACAAAAAGAACAACTTTTTAATTGTGCTTTATTTTTTATTTTAACTATTTTCTGTACAATTTTTTTTATATTATAAAAGGGGAAAAAATTCAAACCAAATGCCGTTTGAGTTTTCGCTGAATAGGCACCCATTCACCCTTGTAAAAAAAAAAGTACCCACTAACATTAGTTAATTATGTGATAAATTCTATGGTAACCATCTTATTTGAGAGAGTATTAGTACAATTTTTTTATATTTTATATTTTTAACAATTTATTTAAATAATATTCAATCTTTGAGGGTACCATAACAACTCCCAATTGTTATTTGATGGGAATAACAATTTTTATGAGTTATAAATATCGACTAGTGTGAGACAAAATCCACATCCTGACAGAAAGTATTCTCTCAAACCCTAGTCATCACGAAAAATAAAAAGAGTAGAAAGAAAAGTAAAAATAAGTGAAATCTTAGTTCTCTTCACAAGCACTCTAAAGATCAAAGAAAATTTCTATTATGAAAAAAAATATTTACTTTTCTTATTATTATGTAAGTATCATAAATTTCAAAGATCCTTTAATTTTCTATTATTAATATATTAGAAAATCATAGAACTTATATAATAGACACAACTATGGCAACGACAATTCCTATTGTGATGCCGACAAAATCAATGTAAATATGCTTACATCTTTTATTTATTTACAAAATTATCACTGCATTTCTTATTTACATCATTTTTATTAGAACCGATGTAGGTATAGCGATGTTAAACAGTGTTTTTCTAGTAGTGAACTGTTCAATTCAATTAAAGTTGAGTTGATTCATGATGGTTGATTAACAAAATAAATAAATAAATAAATAAATCATAAACCTAACTCAATTCACAATTTGCATCGTAAATTATATGGTGGGAAATATTGTTACATTCGTGCATGCACTTCAAAATTGCATAAATAGAAACTGAAAATGGGGAATAGAGTTTTGATTTTAGGAAGATGAATATAGTGATGTTGCATGAGATTGGTATAGAAGCGATTGCATAAAAGGACATTAGACAAAATAAAATGGGGTGTCCACCTTGGAGCAATAAAATTCATTCTCTTCCTTTAAAGCAAAATAAACTGTTTCCCTTGAAACTCAAATTGATGGGCTTGCGTGTTGTAGTTTCACTTAAAGCAACACAAGTGTAGAGTTTAAAGCAACCAAAAAGTGAGATTACATGTGTGTTCCACCCAATATTTGAAATTTTTACGTAAATAGAATTCTTTTAAAAAAAAATTACCAAAAAAGTATTTGTTACACTTTATTTACACAACTAGTATTGATCATTGTTCACACTCAGAATTCGATTCTCCGATAACTGAATTCTGAGCTTCAAATTTATTTTTTTTTGTGATCAAAATTG